TGCACATGCGTGCTGCCATCAGGCCGCTTTTGCTTTATTCACAGCAGAAGCTTCGTTCTGAGATCCATCACTTCCCTTAGTAAAATCATCTAACACAGTACAGAAAACAATGGCTAGGTACACAGTAAGCGCTTTGATCATTTATCCCCTTCCCAGCCAGTGTTATTAGTACAGTGTCAGTGCATATTTTTAGCACTGATCACTGTATTAGTGTCACTGGTTCCCACAACGTGTCAGTTTGTCCGCCACAATATTGCAGTCCTGATATTGAAGTCATAATCGCCGCCATTGCTAGTATAAAAATAAAATAAAATTCCAGTATATATACCATAGTTTGTAGACACTATAACTTTTGCACAAACCAATCATAATACACTTATTGGGATTTTTTACCAAAAATATGTAGCAAAATACATATAAATTTGTAAATTTATGAAGAAATTAATTTTTTTAATTTTATTATTGGATATATTTTATAGCAGAAAATTGTTAGTCTTTTTTTGTTTATAGCGTAAAAAAGATTAAAAACTCAGTGGTGATCAAATACCAGAAAGAAAGCTCTGTTTGTGGAGAAAAATAACACAAATTTAATTTGCATGACTACGCAATTGTTAGTTATAGTAACACAGTGCCGTATCGCAAAAAATAGCCTGGTCATGAAGGGGGGTAAATCTTTCAGAGGTCAAGTGGTTAACAATATCTCTGTTATCTCACATTGTTGCAAATTTATTTTTCATGTGTGTTTATTTAAAGGCAATCCAATGTTGCAGAGCCCTTTGCTTGACTTGGACAGTGATGGACGCCCTTCTCCTCTTGGCCGACTCAGTCAGACTGCATCACTTCAGAGAGGAAGCAGCTTCCAATCAGGACGAAATGACTGTAAGGATAAATGGGGTGACTATATAGGTCTTTAGTTAGACCTCATTTAGAATACTGTGTCCAGTTCTGGAGACCTCACTTACAAAAAAATATTGATAAAATAGAACAAGTCAAGAGACGGGTAACAGAAATGGTGAAAGGTGTCCTTTCACAAGAGCGTGGCTTGAGATTGCCCTCATAGCAAGAGAAGTTAGTATAACATTTTTTTTTTCTAATTACAACCTTTAGAATCCCTTGAACCCTAAACCAGTCAGGTCTTTTGTTCAGTAATAAACTGGAAATCAGACTGTATGCTATGACCAATTGCAACACGTTTACTCTAGTTTATGTTTTAGTAATTAAATTATGTAAAGTGAAATGTTAGTAATTGGTACATTCCAAGAGCACACACACTGTAGTAAGGATTACAATCATAAATGTTAATAATGAATGTTCAGTGTAACAATATAATACACTGGAAGGAATAATGTATCAGGCATGGATTTTAGCCATGGTTTGTATAGGGTGCTGCCTTCTAGTTGAGATACAATGTTCATCAGTAGTTTTAGTAAATAATACATGCTCCTTCTAAATAGACACTATCATTTCCAGTAAGATCTAGCTGGAACATGTGCTTGGATTTTTGTTTTTATTATCAGGAAGTAGAAGTAAAATGTCCTTAAAATGAAAATAAACCCACCGATTTAACGGTTTCCCAAACATTTTCACTCAAGGCATAGCTTGTCACAGTTACTAGTGTACCTATGTTAGCTCCCAATCAAACTGTCAAGCCATCAAATGACTACTGTCATGGCTGGTCACATGTGTAGCACCATGGCACCTTTAGATCAAACAGAGGCTCATATGGCAGCTTTCCTGGCTGTAAAGGAGAGGAGGGGTTCATTCTTCTTTACCTGGTTTAAAATTATCTGCTGACAGTTCAGTGTATTGCACCTGGCACATGAAGATAAATAGTCCTGAGCGCAACAGAAATTTGACAGTGCTTCATATAGCTATGCTTTATGGTATAAAGCATGGGTGCTCAACCTGTGGCCCTCAATGGCCCCCATCGTGCTTCTACCTTTGGCAGTCATGCTTGTAATTGTCAGCCTTGCAATGCCTCATGGGATTTGTAGTTCCACAACAGCTGGAGGGCCACTGCTTGATCACCCATGGTATAAAGAGTGCAGGGACATTGACATGTGTGCAGTGCCCTACTACTCATCATTCATGTCTTCATTAGAGCTGGCCCTTTGTGGTAATAATACATGTCACAGAATGATATGCTTTTATATATCATCTTCAGATATGTTTATCAAAGCTCAGTTCCTGAAATTGTTTTCTGGGGTGTTAGTCTGAAAACAGGAATTACTTTCTTGGTATTTATTTTTCCCACGAAGCTTATGAAGGCGTTCCTGTGGTTTAAGGACAAATACTAAGCTTTACTTTGTTGCATGGAAATGTTTTGGTTTTTCTTTCCTCTTTAGTTGATGTTGTCTGTATCAGACTAACTAATCTCTGGGCAAATAACTAACCGACAAAAAAAAACTACATGGTTGTCAGTATCTTCCAAAACTAGCCCACTTTGCCACTATAATAGGCAGGCAGTTGCAAGTACTTGACAATTACCAACTGACTTTATTTTATGGAGCTAAAAGCGGAACTACACTGCACCTTGGGCCCCTTCTCTTCTCCATCTACACCTCCTCCCTTGGCCAACTAATACACTCTTACGGCTTCAACTACCACTTTTATGCCGACGACACACAAATCTATCTCTCAACCCCCTACCTCACCCCCTCAGTCTCTGCCCGAATCACACACCTACTGAGCGACATATCAGATTGGATGTCACTCCACTTCCTTAAACTGAACCTCTCCAAAACCGAGTTTCTTGTCTTCCCCCCAGCCCGGACACCACCCCCCATTGACTTCTCCATCAGATCCAACAACGCCACCATCAAACCCGCCCCGCAGGCCAGAGTACTTGGTGTCATTCTGGACTCCAACCTATCCTTCCAGCCCCAAGTCCAATCTTTAACAAACTCGTGCAGACTCCACCTCCGCAACATCGCCAAAATCCGCACGTTCCTAACCCCAGAAACCACTAAACAGCTCATCAACTCCCTCATCATATCACGACTCGACTACTGCAACTCCCTCCTCACTGGCCTGCCTCGCCGCTGGCTATCCCCGCTTCAGTCGATCCTGAATACGGCTGCCAGACTCATTCACCTTTCCAACCGCTCATTTCCGCCACCCCCCTCTGCCAATCCCTCCACTGGCTTCTGATTGCGCAATGGATCAAATTCAAAATCCTAACAACAATCCTGACGTACAAAGCTGTCCACCATACTGCCCCGAACTACATCACTGACCTAATATCCAAGTACCGCCCAGCACGCACACTCCGCTCCTCACAAGACCTCCTTCTCTCTAGTTCCCTGGTCTCCTCCTCCCATGCCCGCCTCCAGGACTTCTCCAGGGTGTCACCCATCCTCTGGAACTCCCTGCCCCAACCCATCAGATTATCACCTACTCTCCTCTCCTTTAGGCGCACCCTGAAAACCCATCTCTTCAGGGAAGCCTACCCCACCCCCTGCTAACTTGTCGACCTCCTCCACTCTTCCTACCACTCCATCCCCCCACAGCTATCTCCTCCTGTACCACCATCCCCTCCCTCCTAGATTGTAAGCTCGAAAGAGCAGGGCCCTCGATCCCCTCATGTTTTGCATTGTATTGGTATTGTTCTGTCACATGTTCTGTCCCCCTTTGTAATGTACAGCGCTGAGCAAACTATTGGCGCTTTATAAAATACTGTATAATAATAATAATAATAATCTGAGCACCACAAACCAAAAAATGCTATTTAATTCATTTTTATTATTCAAAGCAAACTCCCCCCATCCATCCATGTCTCCATGCTTTATTTTGCTGAGAAATCACTTTGAAAAATCCCTCCTAGTATTTCTAGTCAAGGCCATCTTTCATAGGGGCAGATGATTCATGTAGCATTTACTTCCTGCAAACCATCTGCCTCTTGCTCAGGTACATAGGCAGGAGGATATACTTATCTCACAAAACCCCTCCTTCCCACCTGAAAACTCCTATAATGTATGACATTTGCCTAGGCATGGAAACCAAAAAGTGAATTAAGAAATGTAAAAAAAAGTTTAAAACAAGTAAATATAATACACTTACCTACCGATTTACTAATGCTAGCAATATAAGGATTCAAAATAGCCAATGTTGATTGACAAAGTGAAGTTCCTCTTTAAAGTGTAAGAAATATTGGAAGTTTTGCATGTTTTTTTGGAATTGTTGGCATCCCTTAATACTACCTACATACAGGTGCATCTCAATAAATTAGAATATCATCAAAAAGTTCATTTATTTCAGTAATTCAATTCAAAAAGTGAAACTCATATATGCTATATAGATTCATTACACACAGAGTGATATATTTCAAGCATTTCTTTCTAATTGGCTAATTAACTCAAAATACCTGTAGAGGATTCCTGAGCCTTCAAATGGGCTCTCAATCTGGTTAAGTAGGTTACACACTCATGGGGAAGGCTGCTGACTTGACAGTTGTCCAGAAGATAGTCATTGACACCCTCCACAAGGAGGATGAGTCACAAAAGGTCATTGCTAAAGAAGCTGGCTGTTCACAGGGTGCTGTATCCAAGCATATTAACCACTTACCCTCCTGAGGATTTACCCCCCTTCCTGACCAGGCCAATTTTTTGCATTATGGTGCTGCGTTACTTTAACTGACAATTGCGTTGTCATGCAATGCTGCACCCAAATGAAATTTATGTCCCTTTTTTTCTCATGAATTGAGCCTTCTTTCAGTGGTATTTGATCGCCAGTGTGGTTTTATTTTTTTGTGCTATAAAAAAAAAAGACCAACAATTTTGAGAAAAAAAAATCAGTATTTTTTTCTTTTTGCTATTAAATATGTCCAGTAAAAAATTTTAAAAAATCAAATTTTGGCATAAATATTTAGGCCAAAAAGTATTCTGCTACATGTCTTTTCAAGAAAATCCCAATGCGTGTAAATTAATCAGTTATAGCGTTTACAAATGGCGGTATATATACTGGGATTTTTATTTTTACTAGTAATAGCGATGATCAGCGACTTATAGTGGGACTGCGGTGGGCATTCTGACACTGGAGGGAACTGACATGGTGTCATTGACATCCCCAGTGACACCAATACAGTGATCAGTACTAAAAAAAAGCACTGACACTGTACTAATGGCACAGAGCAGGAAGGGGTTAACATGATGGGCGATCAAAGGGTTAACTGTGTGCTGTTTTACTAAGTGCAGTGTCCGTGCTTTACTGTAAGCACACTGCTTTGGATGACTGTGCTCCACATGGCCATACAAAGCAGTGTGCATGAGCTGACGGAGGAGAACTGCTTTGTTTACAAACAGGTCTCCTCCCTGTCTGGGATGCTCGTCAATCACTGGCCGGGACCCGTGATTCACAGCTGCAGCAGCGAATGGCACCTTGCGCGCTCCCCCTACACGGAAATGCAAAATCATGTATTTATACGCCATTTTGCACACCCGTGCCGCCCTGTTGCAGTATTTCTGCTATAGGGTGGTCAGGAAACGGTTAATGGAAAGTTAACTGGAAGAAAAAAGTGTGGTAGAAAAAGGTGCACAAGTAACAGGGATAACTGCACCCTTGGGAGGATTGTGAAGCAAAGGGCATTCAAGAATTTAGGAGAGATTCACAAGGAGTGGACTACAGCTGGTGTCAGTGCTTCAAGAGCTACTACACACAGACGTATTCAGGACATGGGCTACAACTGTCACATTCCTTGTGTCACTTCTGTATCACAGACAACATCAGAAGCGTCTTTCCTGGGCTAAGGAGAAAAAGGACTGAATTGTTGCTCAAGGTCCCAGTGTCTGGAGGAAGAGTGCAGTGGCATAGAATCCAAGTTGCATGAGGTCCAGTGTGAAGTTTCCACAGTCAGTGATGATTTGGGGAGCCATGTCATCTGCTGGTGTTGGTCCACTGTGTTTTCTCAAGTCCAAAGTCAGTGCAGCCCTCTACTAGGAAATTCTAGAGCATTTCATGCTTCCCTCTGCTAACCAGCTTTATGGGGATGCTGATTTCATTTTCCAGCAGGACTTGGCACCTGCCCACACTGCCAAACGTACCAATATCTGGTTTAATAACCGTGGTATCACTGTGCTTGATTGGCCAGCAAACTCGCCTGACCTAAACCCCATAGAGAATTTTTGGGGTATTGTTAAGAGGAAGATGAGGGATACCAGACCCAATAATGCAAATGAGCTGAAGGCTGCGATCAATGCAACCTAGGCTTCCATAACACCAGTGCCACAGGCTGATCGCCTCCATGCCACGCTGCATTGATGCAGTATTTCATGAAAAGGAGGAGCCCCGACTAAGTATTGAGTGCATACTATACTGTACGGGGACATACTTTTCAGTAAGCCAACATTTCTGTATTAAAAATCCTTTTTTTTAATTGGTCTTATGTAATATTCTAATTTTCTGATATACTGAATTTGGGTTTTCAATAGCTGTAAGCCATAACCATCCAAATTCAAAGAAAGAAATGCTTGAAATATATCACTCTGTGTGTAATGAATTTTTATAATATATGAGTTTCACTTTTTTTAATTGAATTACTGAAATAAATTAACTTTTTGATGATATTCTAAATATTTTTGTTTCACCTGTACATATACAGTGGAAGTAGACATTTTATAGCATGGGTTAGTATTCTGTTCACACATACATTAATATCTCCCAGGTAGTGGATGCCTAAGCTGTAAGTAGGTGTCAACTGAACATTATAATAAAGAATGTAGTACAATATACAGAATCTAGCTATCTTGTTTCTGTCTTTCAGCAAACTACTAGTTTAACAGTGATTAGTGATTAATAATTGCTTTTTAGTATTGTGCTCTTGATCGTCCTAATATGTGTCTGTGGGTATTCATCAATATATACATACTTTGATTATACATATTGATTTTTATTCTACGTGTAAGTTGTATTTATTTTCCTTTTCTCAGCTCTGAGATATAAAACACCACATCAGGCAGAGTTTGTGGAAAAGCTAACAAAGGTGGTTGTTGGGCAGCTTCCGAACTTCTGGAAACTCTGGATATCATATTTGAACGGAAGTCTCTTTAGTGAGGTAAAAGCCAAGAACATTCATCATATAAGCATTTTGCCTCTCTCGTCTGTTGAACTAACCCCCGTTAACCTAAGGGACACATTTCAGTGTCTAGCACCTTTACGTATAACAGGGTTTGACCTGTTTGAACCCCCTTTTAATGTTTGTTCCAGGTTACTGATAGCAACCATAGACTACGTTGAATCATTGTGAGATAGCCTAAGCTGTGAAAAGCTGTCCTCTGCAAAAAGCTTAACACGCATATACATATGAGCTTATAAAGACCGTTTTCAGTTGTAACTGTTACCTGCGCTGCATCCTTTTTAAGTCATGAAGTTGAAAAGTGAACCCGTTGGACTAACCACAGAATAGTTTAGTTATGTCTCGCAGGAAAGGGTTACATTGCCTGCTGAGCTTTTTCTTGAATCATGAATTGTCCTGGTTTCAATGTTCTGTTTACAATCTACTAACCTACCAACAGTCATTTTCCCATACCGAACTCTGAGTGCCCATTAATCCATGAATAAAAATGTATTATACTGTAGCCTACCAATTCTTATATGGGGTGGCTGCATTCATTTTTTTAGGCTTTTTTTTCCCTATATTGTCACCCGTTGATCTGACCAGTAAGTCTCCTTATTTTTCCATTTCCTTTTCCAGACCAAGCTGCCCAGCAAAAGTGACAATTAGAGGGTTGAGACAAACTATTTAATACAAATGGGGTGCTTACAAGGATCAGTTCATATTTATTTATGTGTAACCTTCTCCTATCTCAAAAGGAAACAAAATGTTGTTGTAGTCCATCTATATCTGGTAATGCATCTAAATCATCCAATAGAATACTCTATAAAGAAAATTGCTCGATTACCCCATCAACACTGACTGCTTCCTGCAGCACTATTGTGTTCTGCCGACGGGAGAGCCTTCCCGGCGGACAGAACATAATGGTTACTGCTAGTGGCTATAGTCGCTGGCAGTAATCGGATGTCAGAAAATCCTACGGGCTGCTTGTACCCAAGTTGATTGATGGGTACGATCAGCCTGCCCATACATGGATCATATCTTTTGCCGGTCCCCGCTGAACCGTTATGGCGGGCTTTACACCACCTGCCCAGAATGGCAATGCTGCTGTCCCAAACGGTATCTGTTGCTCCATGGAGAGAAATACGTCAAGACAGTGAAGTGTGTTACTGGATAGTATCACCAGGTGAGAAAAAAATTAAAGCCCAAAAAATAAAACTAATGTGATCACTACAATGAAGGATTGGTAAGCTGCAATATATTCCATTTTTTGTGGAGATTATATACCACTTTAATTTCAAAAAAAATATTGCACATAAAATAGTGATTTCTTAGATTTGAGCAGTACCAATGGAGATCTTGTAGTAAGCATTGTTAAGCATGTGCAAACAATAAAAACCTTGCATCAGAGCTTTTCTGACATCTTTAACCCCTTGACGCCAACGTCACACAAATATGCGGCCTCATGGATCTGGGCTTTTTTCCATGGGGCCGAATATTTGCGTACCTGTCTCTATGCTGGGAGTGCGCCGCTCGCCGTGTCACTGAGAGCCAAGGGTCCCGTTCTAATGATCGGGACCCGGGACTCCCGATTACGGGTCACATGATCGCTGTGATAGCCTCTGATCAGTCACTGTACAGCCCGGCCCCCTTGCTTTTTTCTCTCTCTATGACTGGAGAAGAGAGATACATTGTATCTCTCTAACTCCTGGCATAGAGAGAGAAAAAATGTTTGTAAAAAAGAAAAAGAAGATAAAGAAATAAAGAAAAATAAAAGAAAAAAATAAAGAAAAATACCTAGATCAAAGTTTGATCTAGTTCAGTGCCAGGGCTAGTGTTTGGGCCAGGGTCAAAGGTCAGGATTTAAAAAAAAAATTGGTATCAGTGTTAGTTAGTGTCAATTTCAGCGTCAGTGTGTTTTAGGTTAAAAAAAAAAAAGACAAAAAACAAAATGCGCACTATTGTTTCTGGGCTGTACTACGGGTACAAACAACAAATAACATACACATATATAGTATCGCTGCGATCGCCAAGAGCTGGAGAATTTATTTTGGGTTGTTCTTTGGTGGTAGGTTATAGTCGTAACAAGAAACACACAGCTAAATAAAAAAAAAATTTTTTTTTTTACTATTTTGGGCCAGTTTTCCTTTGATAATATAAAAAAAATCAGGAGCAATCCATTACCATTTACCACCAAGTGAAAGCCCAATTTGTCCTGAAAGAATCAAGGTATAATCCACCTGGATGTACAAAGTAGTTTTGATGATATATACGGTTTTACTAACACATGTTAATGTTGTAGAATTGTGCTTAGGCATTTACATTTGTTTTACCCTTAGGCGTGAAGGGGTTAAGCATCTAGAGTCCAATGCACAAAGGAAGTAGAATAACCTCTGTTTACCTTTACATGCTTGCACTAAAGACTGCTCTGCAAATCAGTGCATTACACATAGCTACACAGATGTGGGTGCTTGAAATACACTGCTCATAAAAATTGAAGGGACACTTTTTAATCAGAGTATAGCATCAAGTCAGTTAAACTCCTGGGATATTGATCTGGTCAATTAAGTAGCAGAGGGGGTTGTTAATCACTTTCAGCTGCTTTGGTATTAATGAAATTAACAAGTGCACTACATGGGCAACAATGAGACAATCCCCAAAACAAGAATGGTTTTACAGGTGGAGGCCACTGATATTTTTTTCCTTACTCATTTTTTCTGACTGTTTTTCACTAGTTTTGCATTTGGCTAGCGTCAGTGTCAATACTGGTAGCATGAGGCGATACCTGAACCCTACAGAGGTTGCACAGGCAGTCCATCTCCTTCTTGATGGCACATCAATACGTGCCATTGCCAGAAGGTTTGCTGTGTCTCCAAGGGCATGGAGGATATTCCAGGAGACAGGCAGTTACTTTAGAAGAGCTGGACAGGGCCTTAGAAGGTCATCAGCAGGACTGGTATCTGTGCAAGGAGGAACAGGATGAGCACTGCCAGAGCCCTACAAAATTACCTCCAGCAGGTCACTGGTGTGAATGTCTCTGACCAAACAATCAGAAACAGACTTCATGAGGGTGGCCTGAGGGCCAGAGGTCTTCTAGTGGGCACTGTGCTCACTGTCCAGCACCATAGAGCTCAATTGGCATTTGCCATTGAACACCAGCATTTATGAGGTCCATCACTGACGCCCTGTGCTTTTCACAGATGAGAGCAGGTTCGCCCTGATCACTTGAGCAGACTTGAAAGGGTCTGGAGAAGCCTTGGAGAACGTTATGCTGCCTGTAATATCGTTGGACCCATTGCCAGACACAACGAAGGTGCAATGGGTCCTGGGTTCCTCCTGGTGCACGACAATGCTTGGCCTCAT